CAACTTAGTGATGAAACTGTCTCAAAGTAAAAAAATGAAAGGGGCTGGGGACATAGACAAGTGTTTGATCACTTACTTGACATTCATAAGGCCGTAGGTTCAAGCTCCAGTACAAACAGTGGTACACACTAAAAAAGACACAGTAAAGGTCCTAGAGTTTTCCAAGGGACTCTCACCACTTAACCTCCAGAAAAGGCATAGGGGAGCTGCTCTGGTTGCAGCAAGGACCACACACCGGGAGCCTGGTTACTGTAGCCTTTATGTTCTCAAAATATAGTTTGAAATCAACCAATTTATGGAACCCTGCCCTTACAAAATATAAAGCCCCGAAAGGAGGTTGGATGTGATCCACTTGGCTAAGATGGAGAAGAGCACGTCTTTCAACACAAAGTCCTCAGCCCATTTCTCTATCACCACATATCTCATCCACACCAGCCAGCCCTCCCTTTTGATAATAGGAAAGGTAGATTTAAAAAAAAAAATCAAGAATCTCCATTAGCACTCACTTCAATAGAACCTATGCAAAAATTCTGTTATATCTCCTCTCGCTTTAACCATTTTCCAAGACCTTCAGCTTCTAAAATGGAAGTTGTCACGGCTGAATGGAGTTGATTCACTGAGATCTATCATCTTTTGGATAATAAATCCTCTAAAATTAGCTATTTGAGTTGTTTCCAATATTTTGCAGGGAGAAAGCTTCCGTTATCATCACTGTGCTCTCCTCTGTGCTTTGGTGATTAGTGCTGTACAGTAAATTACCAGCAACAGAAACACTGAGTCAAAAAATATGAATGTTTTTAAGCCAAAATATCTGATTGTCCAATTGCCCTCTTGATAGGATTACTGCAAGTACTGCAGTGAGGTAAATGATTTAAACTCAATTGCAGCACATTATATTTTCTACTTTTTTATTTGTTTTGCATACCCAAATGACTTTTAAATCACTAATAGTTTTTTATTAATCAAGTTGCAAAAACATTTCAGAGTTAAGTGCACACTTACTTTATAACCCAGCAAAAGCCATTCTCAGGTAATGACCCAAGAGACAGGAAAATAATGTCTGAAGAGACCTGTGACAGCCTAGAGGGGAAACCAAGAGTGGTTACATAAACCACTACCGACATCCACCACTCTTCAGGCATGGCGGATAATTCTGTGTGCCCATTACACAGCAAAGAAACTGAGGGGCCATTTGTAATTGTTTTGGTTGGGAATGCTGCTAGATTCCAGAATCACTAGTAAAACCAATTGTGAGCTACAAAATAAATAAACACGTACAGCTGGGAAAAAATAGAAATAATAACAAAAATTAATTTGAATATTCAGGAAAATTAATACATGGTAGGTTAGCAAAACATTTTAAAATCAAATATTGTTTAAGGAATTTTGGGGGAAAACTTTTGCTCTTTAATTTGTGCTTGTTTCCTTACAATTTGTGTGTGTTTATACACATTCTATGTAGCAATAATTAGAAAACATATGCAAACTTTTATGTACATATATATGTGTGTTTTTTTATGATACTGAGGATTGAAGCCAGGGCTTTATGAATATGAGGCTAACCTTTTCCACCACTGACCTACATACCCAGTCCTGTAAATTTATAATTAAAACTAATCTTACCCTGTTTTTCTACTAGAGATAGATCTAGAACCTCCTGTATTCTATGCAAGTGCTCTATCACTACACTGCAGTCCAGCCCTCAGCCCCTTTTAATTTGAGACAAGATCATACTTGGAGCTCAAACATGAGGTCCTCTTGCCTCAGCCTCCCAAAGAGGTGAAATTACAGGTGTATCCTAGCATGCCTGGTTTAAAAATATTTTTAACTAAATTGTTATCAGATACAGATAGCCCTAAATGGGAAAAAAATGATTTTCTTATGTCTGGGGGGAAAAAAACCATAAAAGAATAGTCACTTTTTTCTTCTTCCCCAGGTGTCACAGATTGAACCCAAGGCTTCAAGCATGCTAGGCAAATGCCGTCCCACTGACGTACAACCACGGGCCCTTAGCAATATTTTAAACAAATACTTACAATATTAAAATCATGATTTGTTAGCAGTTCAGTCTCACATAGGCAGTTCTGGTTCTGCTGATTGTGATACCCTATGGACATTCTGAATTTCATATATCCCTATATACTCTTCGTGATTATAATTTTTAATAGCTATGCATAATTGTCCAAAGCCAGATCAGTTAGGTGAAGTCTGGTTTAAAGCAGACAATGCCTTGATATTTGGATGCCACCAAGTGGACAAACTATATCATGTTGCAGAGATTGAACATTTTACTTTTTATACATTTTTAAAAGTTAATGTTTAACATTCTGCAGCTGCAGTAAGGGATATGGAGAGATTTGGCCAGTTGGGATCTGGGGGCCTGGGGCATCAGGCTACCACATAAGGCAATCTAGAATAAGGATTTCAGCACAATTATAAGACATTTTAAGTCTGTCATGTGAAAGACGTCTCCAGTTTTGTTAAACTAGGAAGCACTAGTTTAAAAATTAAAATATCCATGTGACTAAAAAAGGATTACATATTTAATGATTTTTACTAATGTAGCCACTAGCCATGTGTGGGTATTGAGCACTCTGTGTGACTAGGAAGACTGAGAAATTTTAATTTCATTTAATAAAAATTAAATAATAACATTTAGGTAATGAAGATCTTAATTCCTAAAGAAATGACAGTTATACCAGCCTAGTTCCATATTAGTACATAAATGTAATTTATTAAATAATAGACTCCAGTATCATATCATTTATGCACTGTCTTATACTTTATGAATTGCCCTTCAGATATCTCCACTATATCGCTAATCACTTCTGCAGATGTGGAAATCATAAAGTTACATGCCCCCTTTCATTTTCAATTCTACAACCTAAAATATTTCTATCATTCAGAGTTCTCACCACCTGGGCTATATATTACTGGATGCCTTTTCAATTTGCCACTAATCTTAATGTCTTGGTCATGGGATCTATGGTAAACGGGAAGAGGACCAAGAGGCAGGGAGGAGAGGGGAAGAGATAGGAAGGAGATAAAGAATTAAGGTGTGTTATGTACACGTATACCAAATCCCCATGATGAATGGAATCATTATGCACTGCCAATACTAACAAAATTTTAAAATGGGAAAAAGGTTAATGTTTAAGAATAAAAAGTAATTAAAACGAGTAAAAAGAGAAAACCCACACCATTTTCATAAGTGCACTATACCATGATCCTCATTATTCTTGAGACAATTTAAGTCTGAAATCACAATCTAGGAAAATCAGGTAAGTAAAATAAACATGCTGTCAAAATCGAGGCCTTCTACAAACTAAAACCACAGGTGTGGATGGTCCACCTGGGTCTGTCTTCAGCCCCAATCCAGGACTTCCAGAGGCAAGCAGCCTTTGCTCTGAATCATCCAAATAACTTCTAACAAAGCCGGCAGCCCTGTCAGGAAGCACAATGATGCAGGCCTGCTGAAGGAAGAGAAAATCAGCAAGGAATCCACTAACCCGTGGGCAAGGAGTCACCAGCATTTTCTCCATGTGGTCAACTTGCAACACCCACCTGAACTGAGTCAGCGTGGCTTGGGAGTGGAGAACACTCCTGAGAATTGTTTTCAATGGCATAAAAGGAGAATTGGAGAGGAAGATTGGATACTGTTGATTTTCTTGAAGAAGCTTGCTGCAGCTGGCTTTCCTGATGTGAATTTGGCTGTTCTTGTCATCAGAGGAGCTCGGGTCCTCGCTGTCACTAGGAATGGCTGCTGTTCTTTTCAGGGGAGCTCTGGTCTTTACCTTGAGCATGGCTTCCTGGCTCCAGTGCTGATCCCTCAGCCTGGTGGCGCAGATCCTTCACCCCACAGGTGCAGACTTTCTAGCTTCCACCACTGGCCTTTGGGCCTTTCCTGTGCAGATCCTCCATATGGACTTGCAAGAGGCAGTTCTGTGGACTCTAGGCCTCAGCTGGACTTGCGCAGGACACTGCCGTGGGATCTGAGCCCTTGGCTGGATCCCTCAGGTCTCTGGCACATGGACAAATCTCTTGCACTCCTCTGCATTTGGCTTTTGGAGTGAATATTATAAAATAATCCTATAAATTATGTGTTCTGTGTTGGATCTGTTCCCTTGCGAACCCTGACTACAGCATTCCAAATAGTTCCTCACCCCACCAGTGCAAGCATCACTTACACTGAAACAGTAACTGGCTGGATACACACACACACACACACACACACACACACACACACACGATGACTTCAAGAAAGTGGTGTCTTCCAAGGTCAGCAAAACCATGTTCTTTACAAAGTGAACACCTAGGAGTGAAGCCCCTTTGCTTCTACCAAGCAGGAGACCAACATATGCTCTGTCCTGCCTTGAGCTACACACTCCTCCCAAGACTTTTCTCTGACAATTTTTTTCCCATATCTCCTTGCTCACGGAAGGCTGACAACCTCCACAGACCGAAAAGAGAGTTTAAAATCAAACAAATACCAGGCATGCCACTAAAGGGACACTTGAAGCTGCAAACATCCTGTGTCTGTAAAGTGAGAAGCACTGGGCATCCGTGTAACTTTGTAGCTGAGACTGAAGCTGAGCTGCCTGCTATGGGCTGACGCTTGGGTGCCCCTCTGTTTGCTTCAACTTTAATTCTGTTTCTTAACCGGAAAAAGTCATGATAAAAATTTCCAAAGGATAAATTATAAAAAGTCTACTTAGAAGCAGCCATAATAGTTATTGTAAATCCATCCATAAATATTTTATGCATAAACCAACAGTTGCATTTATCCATTCTCCCCTTGTCCATTTGCTCACATCCTCCCTATTGTTACACAAAATACAATAATGATTTTATCACTTAATATATCAAAGTGTTTCTGTCATATCAGTACATTCATTTAAAAAAGTTGTATCATATTCTATTAGATGTATGTCCCATAATATATTTAACATGTAATTAAAATTGCACAGGTAAATAATATCTTTTTTAAAATGGACATTTACCTTATTCCCAATTTGTGCTACTTTTGTCATCATCTTCTTATTTAAAATTTTCTGGATCAATCCGATTGCTTCTTCAATTCTGTGAATTCTGAATCCACAGCTTTATCTAGACTACCCAGCTTGAGTGCCTGACCTGCCAAAATATATCTTCCTAAAACAAAACAAAACAAATCACAGAACCATGCGAGATGAAAGTGAGAGTATTGGTCTTTCCAGAAAGAATGGTTGTCTTTCCTGGATAAATGTTTATGACCAGGTAAAATGAATAAGGACCATCCTGATTGCTGAGATAGAAAAATCATTGCAGACACAGCCAAAAAAACATGATCCAAGCTCCAGGTCTTATTTTACAGTTTGTGTTGCTGTGGGGAACTACCAGAACCGGAATTTCCTCACTAATAAATGGGAATAATTATGCTCACTTCACTAATGCGAAGGTGAAAATTATAGTCTCTTTTTTTTTTGTAAATTCCAGAGAAGCACTTTGTAACCTATAAATCTCTATAGGAATATGAAGTGATTGATTTCAGCTAATATAATAAAAGTGCTGGCAGCAGAGAAACAGCAGCACTGTCTACCTTGCACATCCAAGAGGCTGCAGTTGAGTAACAAAAGAGAGTCCCTGAACATCAACACAATTGAGTAGGGGGAGAAAAGTAGCAATGAAGATGATGTTACACAAGGTGCAATTAAAACTGTACAAGGCAGGGCTGGGGATTTAGCTCAGTGACAATGCGCCTGCCTTGCAAGTGCAAGGTCCTGAGTTTGATCCCCAGTACTGGAAAAAAAATTGTACAGGGCAAATAGGGTGCTCTTCTACTATTTTTTGGTTAATTAGCATCTCAACCCTTCTTTCATTTGTGGAATCTCTTCGTTGTGAGCTTTGGAGCCCCGTTTCCTACTACAGAAGCTGAAAAGGAGGCTGAGATGACGAGGTAATGGTTCATTCAGTGCCCTGGCAGTGGGCTGTGGTCCACAGTCATAAGCTTGGTGAACCAAGTGCTCTGTGGAGGGTTCTTAGTGTTGAGTCATTGTTACTAAGCAGCAGCAACAGCTGAAACCTCAGTCCATTGGTGGCAACATCTGGTATCCCGTGGTGGTGTTTCAGGCAGCATTTGGTGTCCACTGATGGTGCTGACAGCCTCTAGCATGGGAATGTCACTTCTAGGGCCTAAGGAGACTTGATGGAGATTTGCATTCATCTCAAATATTCTCAGCAAATCTTCACCAGTTGTAAAGATATAACTTAATCTGCAAATTCGGAAGTAGGCAGCTGAAGTCACAAGCATCCTTTCCCATGGGTCAGAAGGAAGGAGACAGTGACATGTCACTTGTTTTCTTGCCAGTACAGTCTTACCTTCTGAAATGTGATTGTCAAATCAGTCTGGGTGGCAACAATTCCAGCATCTTCCTGCTCTTATACACAGTGTTGATGGTTGGCATCTCTGGGACACAACTTTCATTCTTGGTTCTTAGGAGCACTTCAGAGAACTGCAAATGATTTTCTTGATCAGATACACACTTCAGTGACTCTTCAGGAGGCCCTCTGGAAAAGAAAACAAGTGATTGCGGATTGTCATTGCAACAAGTGATTCACATTCTCCAAGCCCACTTTGTATAAAATGTGACAACTAACTTTCCAACAAAGCCAAGAAACCTTTAAAACTGCTTTGCCACATGGAGGCCAAGTCCCCTGCATTACAATACAATCCTGTGGAGTTTTTCAAAAGAAAAATACATGAACATGAAGAATAGAAGAAATGGTCTGGGGATGTAGCTCTGTGGTTCTGTTGCCTGCCTCAAAAGCACAAAGTCCCGAGTTTGATCCCTGGTACCATTAAAAAAAAAAGAACAGAAGCAATTACTGGAGGCTACCATTTCCTCAAATATGTGTGTTATGAAGCATTATTCTTAGTGGCTAACCTCGTTGCTAAAGCTCAAAAGCATTTTATGTAAGTGAAGAGTTGATCCTGCCTGCTGTAAGAATATTTGTCATGAACTTTTAGGAAAGGCCGCATATGGTGGTGCATATCCTTTTTTTTTTTTTTTTTTTTTTTTTTTTTTTAATTTGGTTAGCACCATAAGTAGACAAGTTGACGAAACAGTAGAGGATATCTGAGGCACACTTTGTGGACAGGATCAATGAGTCACTGTGATGTGAAATCCAGGTTTACCAACGCTGACGATAAGGCAACAAAGCTTGTCTTTGTTGGGAATATTTTTCAGGAGGGTGCGCATGAAGGCGTGTTATGTGCACTTTTGTTGCCAACTAACACCACGGCCACAGACCTATTCAAGTCGACGTATCACATATTAGGAAGACTGAACGGGTCCTTTCATAGCAGCACACGCATGGATGGAGAAGGTGCCACGACAGCTTTTGATGTCACTACTCTGATTAAAGGGGTAACTTTGACTGTGAGCCTACCTATTGTGCCATCCACAAAGAAATGCTGGCCAGCCATAAATTGTCACCTGAGCTTGACATCTTGCAGGATGTGATTAAAATTAACCACAACAGTAAGCTAGATTTTTTTTTTTCAAATGATCAGGGGAAGAAGAGATGGAAGGAGAGGAAAGGAGAGGGAGAGAAAAGTGCTGTAAAAAGAATTAAAATGTGCCATGAATATGTACCAGTTCCCCATGATGAATGTAATCACTGCTGCAAACACATACTAATAAAAATTTAAAAAGAAAAATCAAAGTGCTAAGTGGGACCCCCCCAAAAAATTATCACCTCATTAAAGTGCATGCTCTTGACTCGTGTTCCCATAGCTCTGTGAGGAGGTAAACACATACTAATAAAAATTTAAAAAGAAAAATCAAAGTGCTAAGTGGGACCCCCCCAAAAAAATTATCACCTCATTAAAGTGCATGCTCTTGACTCGTGTTCCCATAGCTCAGTGAGGAGCTGAAATTAGAGTGCATATGTCTTCTCCTATACACAGAAATGAAATGGCTTTCTAAAGGCAGATCGCTGGCCAGAGTTTGAGTTACAAAAGCTACTCTGGAAAATTCTTTTAGAGAAACAGTCACCACCACGGGCAGCGTATTTCAGTGACACAGAATGGGTCACAAAACTCCTCATTCGTGGGACATATACTCAATCTGTTCAATGAGCTTCATCTGTCGCTTCAGGGGAGAATCATAACTGTGTTCAAGTTAGTAGCTAAAGTGACTGCATTCAATGCTAAACTGGAATCTATGGAGGTGATGAGTAAACATTGGGATCTTTGACATGTTTCAAACATTTGCAGAGATTTTTTAAAAAAGAGATCGAACCCGGGCCTTTTTTCTCCCTGTTGATGCTGATCCCCTACCTCAGCTTTCAAAGGCGTTTGAGCATCCTCCCAACCACAAAAGACCCTCAAACTGTGAAGGAATATATCCATGACCCATTTGTGAATAAGCCAGGTAAGTCAACTTTGTGCTAGAAGAGAAGCAACTGCTTGACATCAAAAATGACATTCGTCTTGAAAGTATGTTTGCGACAACTTCAAATTTCCATATGTTCTGGATTAGAGTCAAGGCAGAATATCCTGAGACTGCCACAGAAGAACTGAAAAGTCTGCTTCCATCTCCAACATCCTATCTTTGTGAAGTAAGGCTGTCTTCAGTGGCAGCAATCAAAGCAAGTGGACTGGACGTAAACAAAAGACTTTGGGTGTCATTGTCTCCCATCACCTGTCTAGATGCAGGAAAATAAAGCTTGGGATAATTGATAGAGGCAATTGCTGGCAAAGTTTACACCAACCTGGGGTAATTAAATTGCATGATGTTGGAATTCCAATGAGTCTCAGAAGCTGGGTTCCTCTTCCACCAAGAACAACTCCTAGGCTGACTTCTGGGAGGTCAACTTGAGCCTATCAGAAACTGAAGATAGAAAGGCCATTACACGGAGCTAATACATTCAAGTTTAAGACAAGCATCCCTCTGGATTTCTTCCACCCTTAAAAGGATTCTCTCATTGAATGCAGCAAGACTTGCCACAGGGCAAATTAGATTATGCCTTCTTTAATTAACAGCATAAGCAGAGCTGTGCTAAAGCTTCATGTTCAGACACATCTCTAACTTCTGGCATATTTTTCCTCTGAGGCTATTGTGACCTGTCAAAGACAACAACAAAAAAAGGTCTTCTTGCAAAGCTTTCTGGGTCCCTGCAAGAGCCAGGAAGCACACACACACAAAATGAAAAGAATGGGAAAGAATATTGTCAAATGATAGCTTTGACATAGGACTTGTATCTAGAATACACAAAGAACTTTAACAACTCAATAATAAAAGTAGAGTGAATAAAAAACAGGCAATAGAGGGCTGGGGATTTAGCTCAGTGGTACCACCTCCTGCCTTGCAAGCGTAAGGACCTGAGTTCAAACCCCAGTACCAAAAAAAGAAAACAAAACAACAGGCATAGGATGTGGACAGATGCTTATGGCTATATTTACAGCTTGCCCCAGGAGAACCCTCAAGCCCCTCCAAACCGCTCCTGGAGCTCAGCTATGACTTCTGTGTGGGCAATCCGACCATGACACCCCAAAGCGGGCTCCAGTCCCACTCCGAAGGCCACCCCTTGGATAACTGCTACCACCGGTGTCTCACTTCTCTGTATTTCATCTACTGCACTTGCCCGTCCTTTGGCAGAGGAGCCAGGAGAGTTAAAGCTATGGATAGTCACATCTAAAGGACACAAAGACCAGGAGAAAAGAGGGCTGAGAAAAGCTTGGATTTTCTTATGAACACCAAGGGGCTTAATCACTCTTAAGAAAGCTCCAGACTTCCTGGGTCCAAGAGACACTACAGCCGTGGAAACACAGGAAAGGAACAAGTAGACTGGGAAATGCAGAACAAAATAAGAAAAATTTCAAATCTTTACCAGCAATCCTGTAACCTTCAGAGATCTGTATGTCCATATAGCAACTCTATCCAAAGGAGACAGTAAAAGCCCAGAGGAGCCTCCACTCAGGACCATCACTTTGACCTGGAATCAGCCCCACCTATTTTTACATGGCACTGCTCATTAGCCCCATCCCGTTATTTAGCTCATCTTTGCTCAGAGCAGGAGTCCTTAACATATAAAATGTCAAGGGAAAAAAATGCATCCATATTTGTGAGTTACTTGTTAATCAACTGGCTTAGAATTATATCTTGATAGATTTTTAATGAATAACAAGACAGCATGTCTTGTCTTTCCTGATTATACAAAGGTAATAATTTAAGATTTTAGTAAATTCTGAGTTTTTCCCCCCTGACCATTTTTCTTTTTTTCTTTTGGTACCAGGGATTAAACTTGGGACCTTGTGCTTGCAAGGCAGGTGTGGTGCCACTGAGCTAAATCCCTGGCCCTCCCCTGACCATTTGTAAATGGCTTTGTGGCCATAAGTGAGTTGTTTAACTTTTTGTCTCAATACTTACCTTAAATGACTGAAGTGAAAAGTAAATGACAATTTAATATGTTTTTGACATTAATAGCATATTGGAAAATCCTATTTTCTGTCTTATTTTTCCATGATATTATAGGTACTGAGTTTTTTGCTGGAACATTATATATCCTCTGAAAAAAAGTAAGCTTTGAATAAAGCTTTAAAATTAATTATATATTCAGTGCATTCACTTTTTTCCCCTGGGAATTGAACCCAGGGCCATATCCCCAACCCTTTTTATATTTTTAATATAGACATAAGGTCTTGCTAGGTTGACCAGGCTAGTCTCAAACTTGTGATCCTCTTGCCTCAGCCTCCCAGAGTGCTGGGATTATAGGCATATACCAAGCTTCACCTGTTTTATTTATTTATTTATTTATTTTTCTTTTCATTATCTGCTCTTCAGGTAGTATCAATCCAGAGATCACATTCTTTTTACCAATCCATCACACTTGGCTCTCTTGTCCAGTGTTTTTGCTTTGTGCTGTTTTTATGATTTCTTTTGATTCTTAAAAACAAGATGAACTCCAGTTTGAGCCTCAGGTCTATCATTCCTGTAGCTCTATACAGAATGAGTTTTCATGAGTAACCTAAATTAACATTTATTAGATAAACACATCATGTGTTATGCTAAGTCATTTTATGTACTGTCTCATTTAAGTTTTATAACACCTAGGTTAAACCACCTCTCATTTTGCAGGTAAGGAAGGCAAGGCTTTAAGAGGTTAACTACTTAGTTAAGATGTATGACTAGTGTTATGGTTTGTATCTAGGTGCCCCCCGCAAAGACTCATGCAGTCACAGGTGAGCCTTTTCAAAGATGGCTGGATCTAGGATGTGTGCTGCTGGGATCAAGAATGTGATGCTGGGATTGATTCGTGTTGTAATGCTAGGATTAAGGCTGCCCCACCCTTGGTGTGAGTGCTGCCTGCCCTAAGGTTGGGTAGCCTAGATAAGATATAAGGGACAGAAAGAGGGTCACTGCTGGTTGCATGCTGCTTGCTCCTTTGCTGCCTTCTGCCTACCATGAACTGTTTCTCCTTTGTGAAGCCCCTCTTCCATGCCAATCTACCTTGGAGCCAGCTAACTATGAAATGTAAGCCAAATAAACCTTTCTCCTTTAACTTTGAGGAACAGACATTTTGCCTCACAAACAAGAAAAGTAACCAAGATAACTAGTAACTGATAAAATAAGGATTTAAACTCAGTGTGATATAAAGCCTTTTTTTTTTTTTTTTTTTTTTTTTTTTTTTGACAGGTCTTGCTATGTAATTCAGGGTGACCTTGCACTCACTATGTAAGCTGTGGATAGCCTCAAACCCACTGTGATCCTCCTGCCTCAGCTTTCCAAGTGCTGGAATTACAGGTGTGTGCTACTATGCTCTGGCAAAGCCCAATTCTTATATGCTAGATGATGGCTTTTCACCTAAGGTCATTATTATTGTCTCAATTTGACAGAAACCAGGCCATAGGCAAGGCTATGGTGATTTCACTTTTTAATTATTTTCAGCATAGGAAAAATCCAATTAATTTTTGGATATTGGTTTATATCCAGCAAAAGTACTACATTCTCCTGTCCTACTAAATTTCTCATAGATTATTTTGCTTTTTTTCTACAAATATCACATCTTTTTAATCAGATGTTAACCTCCCTTCTCAACTTTTACACTGTTGACATCATTCTGCAGCTCACTGGAAAGACTAGGACCTCAAATACTATGCCACATATAAACTGTGGGAAAAGTCAGCCTTCTTTCTTTCTCATAAGGAAAATTTGCAATTTAACCTGTTTGATGTTTGCTGTAGGTTTTTTAAAAAATAGATATTGTTATCCTGATTAAGACAAACACATGATAATTTCTAGTTATATTTTGCTATTGATTTCTACCTTTTAAAACTATAATTTTCAATTATATTGATTGTACAAGTTAATGGGTTTCACCACTACATTTCTGTGCATGCATATGTTGTGTATTGATCAGATCCACCCTCTCAACTACCTTCTTTTGCCCTCCCCTCTCTTCCAACTTCTTCCACTCCCTTTTTCCTACCTTAGAAGTCCATCCTCTATTTACAGGCCTCTTTTTTTTTTTTTTTAGTTTTTACATATGGATAAAGATACCTGATGCTTATCTATCTGTACCTGGCTAATTTTTTCAACACAATGTCCTCCAGTTCCATCCATTTTATGGTGAATGACATTTCATTTTTCTTTATGGTTGAGTAAAACTCCATTGTGTATATATACCATATTTTTATTTTTATTTTGAAATACAATTTTGCTATGTATTACAGGCTGGCCTTGAACTCACTATGTAGCCCAAGATAGCCTTGAATTCATGGTGATCCTCATGTCTCAGCCTTTTTTTTTTTTTTTTAGTTTTTACATATGGATAAAGATACCTGATGCTTATCTATCTGTACCTGGCTAATTTTTTCAACACAATGTCCTCCAGTTCCATCCATTTTATGGTGAATGACATTTCATTTTTCTTTATGGTTGAGTAAAACTCCATTGTGTATATATACCATATTTTTATTTTTATTTTGAAATACAATTTTGCTATGTATTACAGGCTGGCCTTGAACTCACTATGTAGCCCAAGATAGCCTTGAATTCATGGTGATCCTCATGTCTCAGCCTTCCAAGTATTGGGATTACAGATGTGAACCACCACTCCTGGCTCCAAATACCATATATATATAT